CGGGGATAGCTTCTTTTTTGGGACATCACGAAGAATGTAGGCTACATACTGGTCGTGATCGGTGACACAAATGGTAAAAGCGGTCTGGTTAGGTCTACTATCAGCATAGCCGGGTATTCCATTCGGTAAATAACTGGGGCTAGTGAATGGGCTTTGTATCTTGTGTTGGAGTATATATAGTATTCTGCTTACTTGCTATTCTCAGCGGACATCCTTTGAGTGCGAGATCAATAATCGACCTATATTTCACAGAGCAGAAACTGAACTCAGATATTGAAGATGCCCTTCAAATCGCGCTTTCACGTCGATATCCCAAACACACACCTCGCCTCACTCCTTCTCAAATCGCCGACGCACCCCCTCTCGTCAACGCATCGATGCTTCTCCGAAGCCGCCCGCCCAGACACCCATTACTTCACCACCCATGACTTCCGACTGTGGAGCCAGCGATTCGCGGCTGGACTGCGCAAAGCTGGGCTTCAGCCCGGTGACCGCGTGCTGCTCTTCTCCGGTAATCATCTGTTCTTCCCTGTTGTGTTCATGGGGATCATCATGGCCGGGGGCATCTTCACTGGTGCAAATCCGACGTTTGTGGCGAGGGAATTGGCGTTCCAGTTGCAGGATAGCGGGGCTTCGTTCCTCCTTTGTGCAGACGTGAGTCTGGACGTGGGGATTGAGGCTGCTCAAATCGCTGGGTTGAGCCGGGATCGGGTGTTTGTGTTCAATAATGCGATCTTTGATGGGCAGGGGCAAGGGAGGAACGGGTGTCGCTACTGGGGGGAGTTGGTAGCTTCCGTCGAGGAGGGGAGAGAGTTTGTCTGGGATGAGCTGACGACGCCCGAGGAGGCTGACCGGACGCTTGCGCTGAACTACTCGAGCGGCACGACGGGCCGGCCAAAGGGGGTGGAGATTACGCACAAGAACTACGTGGCCAACATGCTGCAGTACAACTACATGTTTTACCTGAACCCAGACTGGAAGGAGAGGTCGGCCAGGGCGCGGTGGCTCTGCTTTTTGCCGATGTACCATGCGATGGCGCAGAACATTTTTATTGCGGCTGCGTTGAGTCGCGAAGTGCCTGTCTACATTATGCCCAAGTTTGACTTTATCAAGATGCTCGAATATGTGGAGAGGTTCCGCATCTCGGACCTCATTTTGGTGCCCCCGGTGGTGGTTGCACTGGCCAAGCATCCTGCGGTCAAGAGCGGAAAGTACGACCTGAGCAGCGTGGAGGCCATCGGAAGTGGAGCAGCACCACTAGGACGAGAAGTGTGCGAGGAGGTTGAGGCCCTGTGGCCACCTGGTCGCGTTAATGTCAAGCAGGGCTGGGGAATGACCGAGTATGTATTCCTTGATATTGATTGCAAAGAGTCCTGACAAACTAATACTATGTCTAACAGAACTACATGTTCGATACTGGGCTGGAACCCAACTGAAAGGAGCTATAGTGCGTCAGTTGGAGAGTTAAATGCAAACTGTGAAGCGAAAATCATGGCCGACGATGGAGTGACAGAGTATGGACGCAACCAACGCGGCGAGCTCTGGGTTCGAGCCCCGAATATCATGAAAGGCTACTGGAAGAACCCCCAAGCAACCAAGGAAACGAAGACGGAAGATGGATGGTTGAAAACAGGGGATATCGCATACGTGGACGAGCACGGAAGGTTCCATGTCGTCGACCGCAAGAAGGTAAGCCCTAGCTCTCTCACAGCACTGCAACCTATGGTGCATGACTTCTTCAGGGAGTATGTAAGCTGACAGTGCCGATCTCGGACAGGAATTGATCAAGGTGAAAGGCAACCAGGTGGCACCGGCAGAGCTGGAGGCCCTGTTGCTGGAACATCCTGCGGTTGCTGATGTTGCCGTGATCGGCGTGCAAGTGTAAGTAAATTGACCATAAAATGAGACCTAAGGCTAACGCTGGTTACCTCAGTAGGAATGACGACGAGCGTCCTCGAGCGTATATTGTCCTAAAGCCAGGACACAACACCACCGCGGACGACATTGTCGCCTTCATGGACGGCAAAGTATCTGCGATCAAAAGAATAACTGGTGGGGTAGTTTTTGTCGACGCCATTCCTAAGAACCCGTCGGGAAAAATCTTGCGTAAAGTGCTTCGAGACAGAGCCAAGGAAGAGGCCCAAAAGAATGGGGTCACTGCTAAGCTATAGAGCAGTGATTGGGTGTTCTTCCCTTTTGACATGATTTAGCTTAGCTTGCGCCTCAGTTGACGCATATTGATATAGATCGACCGTCACTCCCAGAGTTCTGGTTGGTGCAAGATATTTGAGATCTCTAGAGAGTTTGACGGATCAAGCAGCCGATAGATAGCCTGCTCTTCGGGGCTGACCAGGTCGTTGGGTCAATAGGTCAGATACATGAGACAGGAGAGTCGATTAAACATCCTTTGGTGTTCCAGAAAAGAAGTTTGCCACGTCTAAACAGAAGCCAATTCTCCATGGGCGACTCGAAAGACGACGACATTGATAGTTGTCCGTCGGGGTCACCGACAGGCGGCCACTTTCTCGCCCCCTCGACGGCGCCGCTTGCTCTTATAACGGGCAAATCTCGATAATGGCGAGTTATATGGGTCGCCTGCAGGAAAACTCTGTTAGTACTTGTTTTGATTCGGATCCATTTTCATTGAAATGATTCATTGGTGTGTACAATCGTCCACACTGGATCAATGTGGCCAATTGTCAACAAACCTCGGAAGCGACGTACGTAGACCTCGAGTCCTGCACTAACCCCAACTTCAAATGACTACAGATACTGGACTTAGTTCTTCGGATGGAAACCTTAGAAGGGAGAAGGTTAATCGAGGAGGAGGATGAAAGAGGGAAAAGGTGACTGGTGTCGTGTTTTCTGCTCCCAAACATCACCTGTCTCACGATTTCTCACTACAACACTATGAAGTTAAACTCAGCCAACGGAATGGCTGACTGGGACAGCCTCATCGCGTATCTAGGCTATATCGTTGATCCAGAACTATGGGTCTCCAATGCCAACCTATGATGATCAGATAGCCCCAAACTTAGTGAGTTCTTAGTCTGATTTAGTTGATCGTCGCTAGGACTGCCTACTCGCTAGTCTTACTTTCAGGCGCCACCCTTCGCTCTCTGAGCCCACCCCTTCTGGTGGCGCATCTTCATCAGCTGAACTTGCCTGGCTTCCAAAGTCCAGGCGTTCTTCCCCCAGAGAACTGCCCTATGAGGACGGGGTGAGACTTTTGTCTGTCCTCCCGTGTCCTCATCCATTTTCACCAGTTCCGTGGCTGATCACAATGCAGCTGGACCGGGATGGGCCCCTCACTTAGTCGTCGGGCCAGATTGCCAACGGGAAGAGACGCACGATATTTTGGTCATCTGGGTTGATATGTGGAGTCTATTCGTTTCCAAGTCCCAGGCTATTAGACAATGACATCTTTCTCGCCGAACCAAACTGGGGGCCGGAATGTGACTTCCCTGTGCCTTGTGCTCAATCAGCCTCATCATATAAAGGCCAGGAGGGGCATCCCGGAGACCCTGGATGTTTGCCTCATTCCCCTGATGATGTGCTTCTTGTAGCTTACTCTTACGTCTACTGCACTCGAGTGAACACTGCATGGCATACATCCATCTTCTTGCTCTTCCTTTGTCATCTTGTCCTTCATTTTTCCCAAACATAAGCCGGGAAGGGTCGCGTGAGGGTTAATTTATCCTTGGGGTGTGTTACACAGCTTCTCGTAGATTTCTTGTTATGAGGCTTGTTGACAATGGTATTAGGATACTTACCTCGATCCAGCTTAAGAGGTGGCGGAGGACAGCCGCTTCATGGAGGGGGACACGGCACATCTGGCAATGAGCCCTGAAGATCACCACTGCGCCATACCCAAAGACTTGCGAGCACACTCATTCGGGACCATATATCCTGCTCTTTTAGTGATTTGCATCGTAGGCCTAGTGCGGTTGATCAGACATCGACAGCAAGGCCAGTACGCCCTGCCTATGAGTGAGATGGATTCACAATCCCCAAGGCAGAAGAAGTATGATTGCGAGCAGCAGACAAAGGAACTGCAACAGAGTACGCTCAGTTCAGAGGCTCTCTCGCACAAAACCTACCCTCTGCCTTCGGCTTGTGATATACTGCAACCCCTGTCGCACCTTGCACCGTTGCCATCAAGTGGCTATCTTGCCTCTATTTTGGGTTGTCAACCGAGTAGAAGCAAATTGGCATCTAAAGAAGATGGTCAGTTGCAGCAGTCTTCTGCACTTGTTGGATCCGAGTCCAGGGCCGTATCCGAGGGGAACGTATCCGATCGTGATGAATCTCGCCTAGCGACCTCGGATAAGAATGCTGGCTTGGTCGGCTCATTCGCCTTGGCCTGTTCTAAAATAGAAAATGAGGATCAACGCCGGGACGAAACGTCGACAGTACCTGCTGCATGGTCTGTTGAGACAGACAGACAGGAAGTCTATGAGCTTCCAGGCTCCGAAGAACTTCATTCAACTCAGAGACGAAACCAAACAGTCCACTTTCCTCAGGTTGTGGATGCAGAAGGCACCCGTTTCTGGAAACGGGTAATCGTGGAATACAGCTGAGGTGGAAGAATCCCCTTTCTGGAATTGGCTCGGAACCTCCTCTGTGCACATTTCGGACTCTGTTTCTCCTTTCTATGTTGTCAGTTCATCTGTAGTAGATCAGCGCGGGTGGCGGTGTGTTTTGAAGATAAATTTGTTTATGACTGATGACATTGCATGTTTTTCAACGATGATATTTTTGATTTTCTCAATCTTCCCAATACATAATTCAATTCGGAAAGGTATTGATTCCTCGCCAATATTTATGATCCGCATGCCAGAGTTGTTATGCGGGGGATTCTAGGGAAGCTCTCCGCCGCTTACTCATCCATGGCATGCGATCTACAGCCAAGTGACAGCATCTCTCCATCTCCAGCTCACAGAGCATCGACCTCCTCACTTCCCCAACCACAATCTTCCCATAGAATCAGGGAGGGCAAGATGACCCTCACCACCTACCCTCAGATTTCATCAACGGCACCCGCCTCCCCGGATCTCAAAATCCTCAACCTCTCTCGCCTCCTCACTCGCCTAGAACACAACCTACTCTCCCCATCCGCAGACCTCAAATCTCTCCGACGAAATGAATACCAGCGCATGCGCATAGCAGCCGTACGTCTTTCTCTTCCGTTTAGTTACACATCGAATCCAGCAATTAATCTGGCCACTATCCCGCCGAACTGACACCCATCACAGAACGTTGAATACGCCCGAACCCTCCTTTCACAGCTCGAACGCACCCTCCCAACCCTCAAACCCCTCGACCGCCGCCACGAGCTTCAAACAGACCTCACACGAAAACGACAGACACTCAAGCTCCTCCAGGATGTATTAGACAGAAGTTCCGCGGAGGCGGAAATGCGCCAATCTGCCGAAAGCGACCTAGACTCTGACGAAGAGGACGAGATAATTCTCGATGGTGAGGAGGAGGAGGCGGTAACGGTCACGCCCGAGGCAGGGAGTACATCGTCCGCGTCGGAAGGGAACAGGGACGCTGTCTCCGAGGAAGCGAGGGAGGAGGTGCACGCTGAAGCGGAAGGCGAAGCTGAATTCGAGACGGATATCTCCAAGACTACACTGCCGACTGCTGCGCCAACACCGACAGTACCACCGCCATCGGCAACAGCAGCACCAACAACAGCAACGCTACGGCACCGACATCAGAGAGGCCCTGCTGTTGCAACAGGCTCCACTGCAATAGCCACTGGCTCCGCGACCTCAGCCTCCAAGCTCCAAGAGACGGAGCAGACACTCGATGCCCACCGCGCCGAGCAAGAAGACCTCACCTCCTCCCTGCTTTCCCTTGCAACGCAGCTCAAGGCTTCCTCGCAGGCATTTCATTCCAGTTTGGAGGCGGAGAAATCGGTGCTGGCGCGCGCGGTCGAAGGGCTCGACCGGACGACTACCAATATGGGCGCCGCTGAGAAGAGGATGGGGATGTTGCGGCGCATGACCGAGGGGAAAGGCTGGTGGGGCCGGATGATGCTGTATGCGTGGATTTTCGGTCTGTGGATTGTGGCCGTGTTGATTGTGTTTCTGGGGCCAAAGTTGCGACTCTGAGTGTCTGTGCTTTGGCTTAAGAGTTTTGCCTCTCGACCATGCTCTGAGCGTTGACAATTCCAGCGTTCTGTATATACGAGCTCCCTGGCCCTACTGGCCCGTACATACCTATCCCTTACTTTGACACAGGAACGAGTAGCTACGGTAATCCCATGGCTAAAACAAATGAATAATTCACAATTCTTTAACTCTGACTATGACCAACCACCGACCCGACATGACACGTGAGAAGAGACATGATAATCTGCATATCCTGCCATTCCCTGTGCCCACTGCCATATCGTCCTTCATTGTTCCCAATGGGCACGAAACCAAGGATAGGGTGTGTAGTATCAGGTTGCACACAGAATCTGTGACGAGGGCATCAAGAGATGATGAGAGGATATCCAGTATTCGAAAAGCAGACACATGGAAACTTCAGACAAGTATGGAAACGTAAAGAGGGATGAGATAAAGATTAGAAGACAAACGACAAGATTGAATAAGAAAATGCGGGCATCCCATGGGAAAACAAAAAGAAAATAAAAGGAAATGGACATAAATCACTGTCTCTCGCCTGCAGGGCTGTAAAGAAACAACAGATAACCCGCTGCACATGGCGAATGGAAAAAGAAATGATCAACAAACTCCTGCTCTGAGTCTTTGGGGATATCAATAATCTTAATGATAACAGAGAGCTGGTGAGATATCATTTCCAGACAAAGGAAATAAGGAGATTAGTAGATGGACAGATTGAATGTCTCAAACGCCAGGGTCTCGAGCAGGGGAAAATCGAGATCACGTATGGCAACAACATCCAGGAAAAGAGAAAGAAGATCGACATCTGATTACAAGCCACATAATATGTGGTCTAAATGTTTTGAAAGAAAATTCCTCACTCCGTCAAGTATAATGGCTCATTAGATCAGACCACAGAGTCTGAGGTTCTCTTGGATAATGATATCTGGAACACGTTAGTGGTCGGCAATTAAGAGTGAAAAAAGGGCCCTTAGGAGACGTACCATTTACAGCCGCCATGACGAAACGAATTTGTGTAGTATCGGTGGCGCATGTGAAGTGAGTGTAGATCTGCTTCTGCTCGGCCTGGTTGAGTGATACGAAGCGGTTCAGGATGTAATCGCAGGCTGCGGCGTAGTCGGCACCGCCCTCATAATCCGGGAAATAGTTCTTCATGGGGCTGACAGGCAGCTTCTCCTTGAATCGATCGATCTTGTTCAGGAACAAGATGATAGAGGTCTTGACGAACCACCGCGAGTTGCAAATCGAGTCGAACAGGGTGAGCGCTTCCTGCATACGGTTGACGGTCTCGTCTTCGAACAGCAGCTGATCGTACTCCGAGATGGCGACCAGGAAAAGAATTGTCGTCACGTTCTCAAAGCAGTGAATCCACTTCTTACGTTCCGAACGCTGACCACCGACATCGAACATCCGGTAGGTCAAGTCACCAATAATAAAGGTGGTCTCTGTGATACCAGTAGTCTTGACTCGAGAGCGCAGAACATCTTGGTCCGTGGGAAGGTAGTCGGGCTGAGCGATACGGTCGATCGCATCGAAGTAGCTGTCAATCCAATTAGCAAACATTCAGAAGCACCGCTGACGGGCAGAGTAAACCCACTATTTGGCGGAATCGTTCAACTGGTACTCGCGGGAACGCTTGAAGCACTCCTGAACACCGGTATCGCGCCAAAGAGCACCAATGGCGTTTCCAACCTCCGGGGGCAGGCTGTCTCCCTCAATCTGAGCAGGTTGCATGAAGATGGTCTGAACATGGTATTCGTTGCGAGCGTCTTCCAGGGGAAGTTCCAGCGACTCCATGGCCTCCAAAATGACGCGCATCGACTGAACTGTGTTGCTGTAGATGATTTCCTTGAATGATTCCCGCTCATCGCGCGAGTATCCACCCTCATGGATGAGCTTCATCTGCTTCAGAATCGTCGACTTGCCGGACTCACCAGCTCCTGTTCAGGTACATTAGTGGAAAAGGTCTTGTCGAAGTTGAGGAGCGGCTCGATGGAGGCATACCGAGCAAAAGCATCTTAATCTCATTTCGCTGCATCATCTTGTCCCTTTTGAGCTGGTTCTCAATCTCCTCGTTACGGGCCTTGCCCTCCTTATCCTCGGTACTCATTCCACAACCCATCTTGGCGGTAGTTGATTATTCAATCGATTGGGGTGTGTTAACGAAAGTCTAGTGCAAGGCAGGTATCCTCTGAAGGGCTTTCGCGGCACTGATTATCGTGGAAGTCTATCAATGACAGATGTCAGCAAAGGAGATAAGTATCGTCACGAAACCATCAGATGAGACAGTCAACGACATCGAACGTGGTACACCGAGAAGAATTGCAAATGAAATTTCCCCACAGAAAACACACAGGCAACAGACAATTACAAATCAGAGTGATCGTGCTGACGCAAGGAGAGGTAAGTTCATGCGGCGGAAAGGCCCTCTCGAGGCAGACCAGGCAGATGGGCGGCTGTGCGGAGGGTAAAAGGAACAGGATCACCCACTTGGTTTGAAATCCCTTCCGGTGGGAGGATGATAGTTCGCACTTCTCAGATAGAAAGAGAAGGCAAATTGACTGCTCGGAATTGATTGATGATAATATTACCAAGAAGCTGAGCGACAGTACAGAAAAACGGGAAGGGAGTTAAAGGGGCGTAAAAATTATAGGTAGGTGAACGAGTTAGGACCGGGCGGGAAAGGAGGCGAAAGGAAAGAAGTAGTTAAGCTGAAACCGCCCGCAAGGCCGGGAGAATAATGGGCTAAGCACCGGGTACGGAACCACAATCTCGATCCGATCGAATGGAGAAGAAGAAAATAAAGTATGTAGAAGAAAGATAGCGGTCGCAAGAAAAGAAGCTAGAGGAAAGGCGGGATGAAGAAATTAATCTATCTATCAACCCTTCTCAGAGGCGTCGATAGATGAGGATGGATGATTTAGGGAGACAGAAGAGGACGAGGGAAAGTGGGAGTGGAAGAAAAAGCCCAAGGCTTTAGATTGGGGGGTGGGAAATGCAGGTAGAGGGACCGCAGGGAAGAGGCTAACGTAAGGGGAAAAATCCGAGAGACAGACAGAGAGAGACAGAAGGTAGTACCTATGGAGTATCTAGAGAGGTCCTACTAAGTACAAGTCATCGATCTACCTACACAGTAGTATCTAGGCAGGTACTGTACGAGTACACGGTATAAGATGAGTAAAACTAAGTTTCGGAGAAACGAGACGAAATGAAGCAGATTTGCAGAGAAAACCTCTCTTCTTTTCACTTTTGGGAAAGAACAATAAGGGGGAAGTGGAGCCAGTGACCAGAATTGTGGGAAGTTTCCTGTAGTCGCTATTATGATTGGTTGCAAGGGTAAGGGGCCATGCTGGAGACACAATTCTGCGAACCAATGATCAAACCCGTCGAAGTCGATTACCCTCCTTTTTGATGAATGGACACGGTACGCTAGTTAGCTATTAATCCGACAGGGCGGTTTATCATACAGCTGGCTGCAAGAGAGAGATCTACAGAGTACCTTAGGAATGGAGTATACTACGAATGATTCGGTATGTTCGAAAGACGGTGCTATTTGGAAGCAGATTGAAACCATTGTGGAATCAAAGTGAAGACTGGAGAAGCTGTCATCTTTGTTTTGCCAGTTGATGCAACCGAGACGTGTGTAAGGTATCATTTTTGTTTGACTAGAGTTTGAGGTGAAAGCACACCATGACCGTATCCATACGCCATTCCACCTGCTGAAGCTAGATAAGTAGTAGATATCTGCTGATGACCTTTCCACTTGTGCTCTAGACTATTTTACATATGCCGGCGCATGAGGCTACTGAGCTGATAATGTAAATTAAAATGCCATCATCTTACGCAGATCATGTGTGTCCCTGACTAAGGACTCTACACAACACGATTCAGCTCTTGAAAGAATGATGTCCCACGTGAAATATGGACCTGAGCTAGGACTTGTCTTGCCCTTACCGTTCGCACATACAAACCATAGTGATCACAGCAATTGCGCAATGCCTAGCTAGACTAGATAGATACGAAATATAAATTATCTTCCGAATGATAGTCGTACTGCGACTCTGAAGTTTCAGTGTGTCGCCACGCGGTGGAGATCGCGTATTGATCGGAGCCACAGACTTTGCATCGGTCCAGGAACAAGAAACAATTCTGCGCGCACTGCGCGCAGCATGACTAGTCTAATGGTGGCTGCTGCAACAGTGGCTTTTTCTCTCATCCTTCTAGAAGGATTTGTCTCAAGCATCTTTCTTTATAGATGAACCTATTCTTGTCAAGGCAATTGAGAAGATGATGGTCTCTGATAGGTATCTATGTACCTGACACCCAAATGATACGCACATGCTTGTTCTTCAATTCTCCACTCAAGCATGTCGATCAATAATTTCTCCGCAGATGTAAATCACCATTCGGCATTTTGAAGGAGTCTAGCGAGACAGATGACTTTCCCTCCTTATCTCTACTAGCATCGGGAGTAGACTAGACAGTAGTAGTAACTGTCGCAAATGTAGCCATAAGCCATCGTAGAACAGTACTGCATCGTAGGTATTAACTACCTGCCAAGTACCAACTTTCCGACCGAACAACGGAAAATGTCCGGTTAATTAGACTCTCTTTTCTGTATATGCACACGCTGGGTTTCGTCTGCCTCACCCTCAGGCTCAGTCTCCACTGACTATTCGTGCTCTTGCCGCCGCTTTGCTTATGTGATGACCAACTAGACTGAGATGACTATGACTAGGATAACTAGTCGACAAGACTATTGAACGTTGTATACCCGTACTCCATACATGCTCACAGCCTTTCATCATACCCCATGGCATTACAATGAGCTCTTCATCAAGTCAAGAGAATCATAGCCACGAAACAGACTAGATATTCAGCGATTTCTGGACTATGGATATAGATGCCCTGGTTCAGTCTTGCTTCCCGGACCCTGGACAAGAAGAATGAAGATCTTGGTTGCTCCACATCTTCAACCGCGA